TTTTAGAGTAAGCTTGTAGGAGAGAAAATCAAGCAGAGCAGTGCATGGCCCTGAAACTTGCATCTCAAGGTATAAAGAAAAACAACTTATGTTCCTTTTCAGCGAACAGATTGCATCCATTTCATGATCCTGTTCATCTCTCGGATTTGCAGCTTCAGCTTTTCATCGCAATCGAGACTTGTATGCTTCATTCCACATGGCCAATCTTTACACAACAAGAGCCCACAAATATGTTCATTACTTTATAAGATGAAGATGTTCCTCTAAAAGCAAAGTAACAAAGATGCATAATGGAGATGTGTACAAGATTTTGGAACCTGTAAGTGTGTCAGATCAACAGTAGATCAAATATCTTAACCACAACGAACTCAACAACAGAGGTAGACCTATTTTAATTTCATTCGAATTCAAGAGGCCTAACTAGATTGCACTAAGGCCAAAAAAGTTATCAATATTAAACAAGTATCGGACAATCAGAGAGGTAGGAAAATATATCACTTAAACTACTTGATGAGTGGTCATAGAATAACCTCAATTAAAATGTCATAACCATGCTATCATAAATTCGCTATTTCTGATTCTGAGCTGTGCATTCCGATAACCATACCAAGTTTCTAGTCTCTTGCTCCCGTAGTATCATATAGGAAAAAATACCACATAGTGAAACTGCGACACAAAATCCCACCCAATGAAGAAATCGGAGGATCAAGGTGGTTATTTAAAAAACAAAGAAGAGGGCATGAGCGAAATCAAACTTGACGTTTTAGACAATCAAGTATCTTCCATGAAATGGCTAAGAGACGAATGCAGAAAGTGCTCTTAAACTGAAACGGTGATCATATACTTAGTAAACGCATTTGAGGTGTTCACACATCATCATGAAGTGATTTAGGATTCGACGAGCAAGGGATCCGGAACTGAAACGTACCTGCTGTTCAAATGATGAAGTTCGCCTCTTGATCTCCTCTTCATACAAAGTTTTGTTGTGCATTTGATTCTTTCCAAATGACAGCTTAGAAAACATCGCACGGTTACTTTTTCATAGCTCCTCGAACCTGTTCCCAACGACCATTACATGCTCATACGAATAACGACGGTGCACCAAACGTTCGCAATATTCACAGCACGGCGATCAGCCTCAAAAGCGAGCAGATCACACATAATTGTCGATGTTGCGCCTCCTAATTTCTGTTCCCACAATCAACACAACAAATAGGCGCTTATAACTTGCATGCATATTTGAGACTGTAGACTGACATAAAACATCAAACACACAGATGACATTCAAAGCTCCAAAGAAGGTAAATTAGTCAATCATTTTGAATTTGGTTGCGTAATGAAGAACAAAATTCAAAAAGCTAGGAACTTCGATACTATTGGATGTGTAAGAAACTCTTCTTACTTGAAAAAACCTGTAGAGTTCCTCGAGGTATGATTTTTAAAGAATGTTCCGAAAAAATTCTATGTTCATATCGTTCAGTGGAAATACTTGCTGATGCTGAGTTTTTGAACCACTTATATTACAATCGTTCCTATTCTCAGTAATCATCTAGTAACACTCACTTCAAGCATCAATTCGTTTGACAATAATAACCCCCTAATCAGCTACCTCGTTTCAAACAGAACAAAAGAACACTTCTGAGTAGTTTAACTACGAGCAAGATACAAGCACCAGCTTACTTCAGACGTAATGCATTCGGAGAAATAAGGACCCAAGGGGGTATCTGAGAGAACAAGCCTATACTGCTGTCGCGTGTTCTGAGCAACTGCTAGAGTCGCAATGCTGCACCACAGAAATAAGCGAATCAAAGTGCTTGAAATATTGGCGGAGGCTGCTTGAAACAATAAAAGTAAACAGATTGAACATTTGTTTTATTTATTTATTAATTTTAACACAAACGAGGTTTACTCGCTGCTTAGATTAGAAGAGAACCAGGAACAAAGCGCCCTAAGCCCTATACTGGACAACATTGATTGCACATTTCCATTGCTGCATATTGGCACCCAATTTCATTTTAAAAATTCGGACCAATACGGACCAACTTGCATAGGTACTATTCCTGACCAGTTACCAAATAGAAGAGTTTCCGTAATCAGGAGAAAATAAGGGAAAAGATGTGTGGTTTTCTTTTATTGCACTTCTTACCCCAAACTGCGACGTACTCTTACATAGAAACTTCCAATTTGCATCGTCAATACCTGTCAAACATGCCTAGAGGTTAGCACTTTTCAAGAAGCTCTGGACATCTCTCGTGCAGTGTTCTTATGACTATGAGAACTATGTTGTCAATCATGTGTCCGTACCTATCACATTCAGATAGATGTAAGCTGCATGTGGTAATTTACACAATACAGAAGGCTTTTGCTAGAATAAATTCGTTAATGATAATGGACGTGACAATCAGGCCTTAAAATACATTTCACAACATATAATCCGTCAAAATGTTAAATGCTGGCAAAGTAAATTGTGAAACGTTGTGTAAATCATAGGACAGAAGAGATTAGTAATAAAGAGTAAAATGTTGATACTCAGGTGATGTACTCGAGAAAGGTCGACAGAGGCTCAGTTGCTTGAGTCAACATGCGGTTATATTCGTCCACCAGCTTCTGTGTACATTATTCCACACTTGTTGCTGTATAATGAGGCAACGGTTCTACACAAGTGGAACGCAAATTTTAGGACGAGCTGAGAGCAATCCTTGCCACGCCCATTTTCTCCTTGTCTCTCTCTGATCCGCGTGCTGCATACAATTCGGCAACACCTGATGATCTCATGCAAATCTGAGACAGTTCCGTGTCCTAATCCAACTTTCCTCCACCGAGTAATATCTACAAATGATAAGGACCTTACAAATAGGGCATACAGTCAAACGTTCCAAAAATTCAAATTTTTGTCCATCAACGCAGTAAAGAACGGCTTGCATCCTCATTTATGACCAAGTCAGGAGTAAAGCGTTACATGGTTCATGACAGGGTTCCTAGGCAATCCATGCACAAGCTACAGCCGAGCTGGAGAGCCCAACACTGTGCTTCTAATAAATCGATACCAGACCAAGTCGAGTGTAATTGAGAAAATTATCCAAGTCTGCATGAATGAGAACAATTAGTAACATTAAAAGTAGTGATAAACTACCATTTTATAAGTAGGGCCCGTAATCAGTTTAAGGGCCATCCACGTTGAAGTTTAATGCCTCGAATTCGTACATCGACATCTTCTAGCGCTTAGCGAATCCCCAGCTCTGTGGCCTTACATAACCAACAGATACAACGACTCAGAATTCTGCCCCAAACCCTAGTTACTTGATGCCTAGCAGTTTCTACTGAAACTGCACAACTCGACAATCCAGACGCAGAAAATACATCCGTGGAAGAAATTCGATCACGTAAACCTCATTTATGCAATCGAATTGCCAGGATCTTCTACAAGATATCCTACGATTTGCATTGAATTTTCTAAGATTTCTCCTTTGGAGCCCACCTGCTTTAGCTTCCCAAACTTCCTCTACAACGATGCGCTGCAAATCTCGTCAGCTGCTCTCCAGATTACCGCAGGGAACACAAAACCAAGAATGATATCCTGCAATACCAGCACAGTCACGGATGATTGGGAAGAGCAGCAGAGTCCGAGCTCCAGGTTGTAGTATCGAAGGTCGTAGAAACTAATAAATCAGAGCAGCTCGGTACTCACAGACGAAAGACCGCCATCTTACTACTTCGACACGTATATCAATGCTGCAATGTAGTGGAACTTGCTTGGTTTAACACGTCAATTCTACGACGCATTCCTCAATTGATCATTCGCTTGATAGGAAATATTCTCGTGGATGCCCCATATATCAACTCTTTGGCACAGCTGTGATCTCTTCGATGACAGTTCCCTCTCTCCCACATGTGTATTTTTTTACCTTTTTACTTTTATTTGTTATTTTCTTTTTACTGCCTTTCTTCGAATCATAATTGTGCATGGAGAGTTCTTGAAGCTGTCACACCTCTAAAGACTGTGTTGGGTTCACAAGGGATTAATGCTTATTACTGATGGTCGTGAGTATTGGTGGAATTTGTTCTGAAAACACCAGAATTGACGGGCTGGGCTTCCCTAGCGATGTGGGTTGTGTATTGTTGAGATCTAGCTATCAGACACACATCGCCATATGCCATATCGAAATCAACAGTTCCGGTGCAACTGTTGTAGTGTGGGATATACAAAATTTGCGACTTTAATTCTAATGTTCTCACACTCAAACTTGTTCCTCATCAGGTCGTTCTCGTTGTTGATTACTGCTGATTACATGTCGAAATGGGAATAATGTTCCTCACTCATTGCAGAACGGTTATGCAAAACACACCAAACCATAAAAGCAACACTGTAGGCTCCGAAAATCCTGGTGCAGAATGTAACAGTTGCCTCAGTCCACATTTAGAATAGCCCGTAATTTCTACCTCTGCACAGCTCCAAGTCAGTTCATGTAGTGAGGTCTACCAAAGCCACGCACAGTTTGCTTTTGAGATCTCAAAGCGTCAGTGATGCTTCCTCTCTGAAATCAACTAGATCGTGTTTTCTACATCCAACATGTGGATCTCCGTGCGGTCATAATGCTAATCAACCCCAGACATATAGCACCCAACTTGGACATGGTTGCCAAGTTGCAATGGAAGGATGCTCGCTATTTTCTTGCAACTGGGTCTGTTCTCGAATTGGGATGTGGCAAGATGACCGTACGCTTCGCGTGTTTTTATGTGTAATTTTTCGTATCTTCTGTTAAGTAGTTAAAAGTAAATGAGTGTGCCCATGCTCTTCTAGGTGTAAAAGTTGGATTTCTTATTTGTTTCTTGGGGATATATATATATATATATATATATATATATATTTTTTTTTCATGTAGTTTACTTGAAGTCATCCAGTTGAAATCCACATCTGACTTGGAGAAAATCTTTGCACCCACTGAAAATCTACTGTTTGGAGAGAGAAGCACTGCATCGACATGTATCATTTTTAGTATGTTTATTCTGACGAGGAACATATAATTCGTCATCTCGAGATGTTCGGGGGAGCGATCCGTCGGCGATGTTTTCGACGAGCACTACAGTTGTGATCATTGGCGTGAGGCGACGAAACGTCCGCCGGTGACTGAGCACGAGGGATGAAGGTGCCTCTAAGAATCCTTCGCTTTTATGTCAGCTGGGCATAATGACCGTCCCATTATTCTCTCTCAATTTTGTATACCACATGTGGCACCCGCTCTCCTCACTTATTCAACCCCCTACAATCCCGTCGACCCCAATTTGGGTAACACCGGTGACGAGTTTTCCTCGCGATCGTCGCCTGAGTGATGGAAATCCGCGGCGCGTGACAATTTGCACAGGTATGTTGGCTTGCATGATCTGCAATTTTCGCACATCTGAAGTTGAGATTGCATCAGTGCGAATACTGTTTCTGGGTTGATGTTGGATCCAGTGTGCGTGGTGAGATAGTATCGGATTACAATTTTTTTATTTTTTTATTTTTATTTTCATTTTTCTGTATTTGGGGTATCTGGAAACGGAGAGATCTGGTGCGTGAAGTTATCAGAATTTTGAATCATTCACATTCATTGTATAGTTTCACTGTTGCTGCGGTCGTGGGAGGTTATCATTTATGTGTTCTGAGACATCCTTCTTTGTCGGCTTATGTTTAGGAAGCACAGCTGTTCACGAACATCCAAATTGTCATGGGGTGCAATCACATTTCATTTGCAGTTGACGAAGTTTTGAATCCTTTTACTGTATCGTTAGGCGTCGGTGCAAGCAGGGTGTGGAATAGGTCCTGTGTAGTGAATTGTGTGGTACAGTTTCTGTTGCTGGCGGTGGATAATTTTGTGAAATCCTCTGGGTTCCATGATGGGACATGGTATGAAATTTCCTTCGTCGTTATTCTGTCTGTGCTTTCAATTAGCTTCCCTGTTTCTACTCGTGTGCTGTGAGTATATTTTTTAGTTCACACACTAATAGATGAAGAATCAGTTTGTCAAGCAATCGCGCATTCTTTCAAATCCTTGGATGATTTGTTCAACGTTTGTCTTCATTGCTTTCTGATCCCATTATCAGTTGATAAATGCTCATGTAGTAATCGTTAGGATCTAAAAGACTTTTATGTATCTTGTTCAAGTGCTCACTTGAAGCGTGTCTCGGAATTACTGAAAAAAACTTGAAAAATCTTACTGTGTGTTTATGTTAGGGTAGTGTTTGCGATGTAGGTCTTAGGGTTCTGTTGTTTCTCCTATGTGCACACTCCATCGTTACTTAGTGAAATTGAGGAACGGTGGTTGCGCACTTCGAAACTAGTTTTTGAGATTGAGGTCAAAATTGGACGCAACATACAGTGACACTATTAGAGCTCGAATGTTCTAATGTTGCATTTGTTTGTTGGTGTATCCGGTGCTACTTCTACTTTTCACAGTCTATACCAGAGATCTCAACATGTTCACTGAAGCAATCCAAACAATGGATGCACGGAATGCATGAAGGGTTTTCGTTAGGATTTTGGATGCGCAGGCTTGGGCAGATCTCGTAGATTTTGTATCCATGTTGTTCAGCTGTCGGCACCAGTTACGGGATTGAAGGAGCATTTGTTGTCATGATGTTACATAGTTTTGATATTACCTCATAGTATTGCTAGTTTGCTAATTTCACAGGATATGTATCTTCGTGGTGCAGAGAAGAGTTCACTTTGCGTCGGCATGCCAAGCAGTTGAGTTAATAACGAGAGTTGTGCACTTTATAGTGCATTGGTAATAGAAGAGATGGGATCCGAAGCTGGAGGACCGATTGAGTTCCATATCACTGGGTTCAAGAAATTTCAAGGAGTTGCTGACAACCCAACTGAGATATTAGTTGGCAAGTTTGAAGAGCATATGAGAAAGCATGGGATGCCCTCTGGTACACAACTTGGAAGTTGCACTGTGTTGGAAACTGCAGGTGACGGTGCACTAGCCCCCTTGTTGCAGTTACTCAACGCACCTCACGAAGGGATTGAAAATCCTCTAATTATTAGCACTAGAGATTCAGGAGATGTAAAGCTGGACAGAGATTCGCTGTCCGTCCCCCAAAAGCGCATTGTCTGGGTGAGCAATGTCTTGAACTTTGGGAGTTCGTCTAAGTGCGAGTTCGCTCGCTCTTTTACCCGATTGTGTTGAGTGTTAAAATTCGAATGCCCTCCATAATCTGGAGGTCAATCGTTCTTTTAGAAAACAGAGGATAATGTGCAAGAGAATAGATGAATAGCTGTGTGCAGTCGCCATGCCAGTGCCACGGAGCTGCAGTGATACTTGTTCATCATGTAATCGGCGGGGGATAGTGACTTTGTCCTCAGCCGATGAGGCAGATTTTTAATTTGGGAGAGCGGTACTGTTTAGTTTGGAACTGACTTAATTTATGCCGTATTGACTCTTGTTTAGGTTCATTTTGGTGTTAATAGTGTTTCTAATAACTTCGCTGTGGAACGGCGTGCGGTGAATGAAGCCACATTTCGCTATCCCGATGAGCTTGGTTGGCAGCCTCAGGTTTGTTTTATCATCTCCTCATACAGCAACTAAAGCCACTATGTGGGGTGGTCGCACTTCTGGATTTAATTTCTCTGCTTGTGTGGTGTTCAGAATAATCCTTGACGACTCTCATATTTGCCATTTGTGCCTGAAATATAGTGCCTGAATATGCGGACTTTGAAGATAATTATACCTTTGTTCTTGTAGTTTTTGTACGTCTTTTTGTGCTTTTCATTGTACATGAAACTGACATGCATGCACTTTCTGCGTATTCCTTGCAGCGAGTGCCCATTGTTCTTGAAGATGGTCCTATCTCTTTCATACGTGAGGTATTGATCTCTATCCTTGCTTATTAAGCATTTTGATTTCATTATTAGAATTACTGAGTTTTCAACATGTTCCATCATATCCTTGGATCTAAATTTTCACCAAATATCTTTCGTTTATGTAAGACCATCTTGACGGGTTTTTGCAGACAACGCTTCCAGTGAGGGACATAGTGAGTGCGTTATCGAAAGAAGGGTTCGATGTGATGGAGTCTTATGACGCTGGACGCTTCGTGTGCAACTACGTTTACTATCACTCGTTGCGCCAAGCACAGAAGAATGGCGTTAAGAGTCTATTTGTTCATGTGCCTTTGTTCATGGTGATCAACCAGGAGCGTCAGCTGCAGTTTATTGCTGCTTTACTAAAAGTGTTGACCATTTTCTGCTGATGGTTTTCAAGGATACATGCTGGAGCAGGCTCTAATTAACGATCTCCGAATACTGTTCTGTGCAAATTGTTCACTGAGGCTAGGAATAAGTTTTGTTGGAAATTCTTGTGCTTTTATGCAAGAATGGTTAAGCAACATATACCTTACAAGTACAGGCTTCATTAGATTTGTTCATTGCTTGTACGCTACATGTGGGTAAAACTATGTTAATTCATAAGTTAGTGCTGTTAGTAAGATCTGATTATTTAGTGAAGACCAGTGAAGCCTGTGCTTGATACCATTGCATTTGTGTTGCATTAAGAGCTAAAGAGCTTGAGGCTGGATATTCCTGCTCTGAAGCTCAGTCCTTCTGGAAGTACCTCTCATGTTCATATAGTTGGGTATGTATGATAAAGTAAAATGGCTATTTTCATGAAACCGCTACTTGGAAATACGTTAGTCTTGTTTCTCATACTTTGATGTATCTCTGTAGCAACTATTCTGTTTTTATGAACTCCACTGGTGGTTAATGGCTAGGACTAATATTGGACAAAAAATACTGCAACAACATTCAAGATACATCTTTGATATATTCATTTATTTATCTACTTTTGAATATGATTTTTAGCCATTGTTATGCAAACATAAATGTTTGAGGCGGCTTGATTGAAAGAACAACTTTGTATTTTGGAGTACTCTTTGAAGACAATAAAAAGGAATTGTGGAAATATTTCACTTGGACTTTTGTTTCTCTTGATTAATTTGAGGTATAGGGAAATAATTTTCATCAATTTCTTTAAAAATTAAATACCAATTGGTAATGCAATATTAATCATTCATATTTAATTGGATAGTATCTAATATTTCTAATACATGCATTATTCTATTATATTCTTCTCCATCAGATAAATATAATCATAAAACTTTTAATCTTTATTTCTGTATTTTTTTTACTTTTTAAATATTATTTTGTATAAGATTATATTCTTAGTTTAATACATAATGTTTCTAAACTCTTAATTTAGCAACCAAAAAACTTTCATTTAATAAGTTCATAATTTAATATTATGACTGAATTTCTATATTTTTATTAATAAATTTAAGCAATAGCTTTTCAAAAGGACGGATTTTGATTTTAAAAATAAAATAAAACATAAAGTGAAAATACGGAAAAATTAATTGATTATGTTTTTATTTTTTTATTTTTTAATATTCAAAATTTTAAAAAATCATGAATTTATATATATAGGATTTTTTCAAAAATAATATTAATAAATTTATTAAACATCCTTTAGTTTTGAATGTAAAAGAAGTTGAAATAAGTAGAACTTGAAAGTTACACAAGAAGACACAAAATTGAGAATTGTAGATTAAATAGAGTATAATGGTTGTAGATTCTTTGTATTACATGTTAGCAGATCGTTTTTTGCAACAAGTTGATAGAATTTTTTAATACAATTTTTTAATATAACTTTTAAAATACAATATTATCATATTAATTTTTCATAATTATGTTTTTATAGTTTAAGTTGTAAAGTTCATATGACACCTTTATAGTATTTGTTTTGAATTTTTTCTTCAAAGGTCAATGTTGGTTTTTAGATTATTATAAGATCTTTACGTAGGTTGTTGCAATTAATAGAATTGAAGAATATCATGGCATAAATGTAGGAATAAATGAAAAAACTCATGCTTGCTCTGGGTTAACTTTGTGTATGATCTTAAATAATATTAGGGGTAACTAATTACAAAAACACAAAGATGATAGGAATTTTTCAACAATTGTACTTCTTTAAGTATTTCATACAAACAAAATTGAATCAAGTAAAGATTTAAGTATTCAACTTTTTAAGAAGTTTGATGGTCTTAGATCTAATTTTCAAAGATTTATAAACCAAGTATAACTTATTATTGAATTCCAACTTCTTTGTAATTTAATCCAATTATTTTAAGTTAGGTTTATTGGAGCTTTACTTAGTAGATCTTACACTTTTAGAATAATAAATTTTTATATTAAAAAAATTGGATGTACATCCAATAAAAGTTTTGATCTATGTATAAAAAACTATGATGAAATTTGTATATCAACCAACAATATCTATATTCTATAACAAATGTAGTATTATTTCAACAAATAGTAAATAATATTAAATAGAAAGTATTATACTTATTAGATAATATCTTATTATTTAAAAAATGTAAAGAGATTATTACTTAAATTGCTTAATCTTCAAATATTTTATCAAACAATTGAATTTTCTAGCAAATATAATGATCAATTTTTTTAGTTTTAATCAAAAAGTCATATAATGACACCTCCTCGCTTTAAATTCCTACAAAACATACTTCTATCATTTATGATATACAATCAAATATAAGAGATATGAAAATTGATATTATAAAACTAAAGTCTCTTACAATATGAGAAAAAACTTGACACCAAAAAAAAAGATAATATCTATATTGATGAAAATCAAAACATATTATTTGATATTGCTTTGAGATGAGATAAAATTACAAAATAAAAATTATTTTGTAAGAAAACAATGTCTTAGAAAGCAAGTTTATTTAGCTCTTTTAATAACTATGTGGCTAATTCTTATATAAACTATATTTTTAAGAGCTTGTATTATGTTTTTAATCTTTTATTTGTTTTTTGATAAAAGTTTGTTAAAGACCTAAATCTTTTATAGTTTCTTAGATTTGAGGTTGTACTAAGATAAATTGAAACTTCTTTTTTATTAGTATAAATATGATATTAGTGAAATATATGAAAATCTTACAAATATACAAAAAATTAGTTTTTGATTTTCATTAATAAGATCTATAAAAACTAAGAATCAACTATTTATAAAAATATAATATAGAAACAAAGAATAATAAGAATATATATATTTTTCATATTTTTATTTTAAAACAAAAAATTAAAAATCAAAAAATTTATTTTAAAAAATACTATTTGAATGATAATCAAATTAATCACTTAAATAGCGTTAATATTTATAATATCAAAATTAAAATATAGATCCTTGAAAGATATGTTTTGTTTTGTTTTGTTTTATTTTTATTTTTATTTTTGTAAATAGTTGGCAATGTACAATGTGTGTGGTAACACAACCTTGAAAAAGAATCTTGATACTTAGTGATACTATTCGAAGTTGATATTACACATGATAGTATTTTAAATGCGTTATTTGAAGGTAGTTAATAATAATAAAAATTTAATAATAATAAAATAATTTGGGATTTTTTTAATCTTAATTTGAAACTTATTAATGGCTAAAAAATACATATCAACTACCTTCATGCAAAACAAAGACCAAATTTTGTAACAAACACTATTTTATAAATTTTGAACTTGATTAATTGATTAAAAAATATAACTATTTCTTATTACAATCACCTATATTAAAAAAATAAAAATAAAAGAAAAAAATAATGGAATATTATATCTATTTTTTAAAAATAAATAAAAATATAGAAGTAAATATTTTTTTATAGAATTAAGTTATATATATATATATATTAAAGAGTTTTTTAGATGCAAATTGTATCTTTAGGTTTTCTAAATAAAACACATAATTATAAAAACTTCTCATAGAAATATATTTCTTATAACAATCTACTACAAAGCAATCTAAAATTTAGATACTTAAGCCATAAGCTTTGAGATCCGTAAAAATCTTTCACATGGCATTTTGATAGCTAACATGTATTAAAGTAAGAATTAGGCCATTTTTTGCTTTTATCAATGCTTTATTTGTATTATGATATTGGATTGAGAATTTATTATTTCTTTATTTATTTACTTTTAAATTGGTTCTTTGCTTATTATTTTTGTTTTTAATGATTTAAATATCTATTTATATTTTAAAGTTCTATCGAATTTATGTCCTTAAAAACTATTAGGTCTTCAATGAAATAATATGATATGTTATAATTTTTTTTTTATAAAAATACATATATATATATATATATATATATATATATATATACATAACTAATAAATTTAGAAAAATACTTAAGTACATAAAACATGCTATTTTAGAATTGATAGGTATTTATAAATAAACCACATTAATCTAAAATATATAAATAAGATACTATCATATTTCACAAATATCAACTTTTTCATGGAAGAAAAGACAAAAAATATATCAAATAATTCAAATATAGTATCAATAAGATTTAGATTTTTATATTAAGTAAATTGATTGAAATTTTTTTATTTCTTTCATTAATAATCTTTTGAGCTTATTATAAAATATAACATAAACAAAACTACTAAGATAAATAGTTTTCTTAAAAATGTTATTTTATCTTAAAATATTATTTTGAAAATCTGTTATGAATTAGAATATTACTGGTATAATAAAAAACATAATATCTATACTTTATTCATAGAACACAGAGTTGCATACAAAGTGCAAAAACAATCAAACTATTTGTCTGTTCAATTAATTTCATTATCAGCCGCAACAACCTCGCCGATCAATGACGACAAGTTTTTCCGTAAAAACGATGCCTACGAAACAAGGTGCTTCTGTCATAATGAAAAACAAAGGAAAAAAAAGATGTGACATTAAAACCGAGTTTCATACAAATAATGTGCTCAGAATCACTCTATTTAGCAAGCACCATAGATGCTCTCATATAAGTGGTATCAGAAATTTTGCATAATCATCACAGCACACCTCTATCGACATAGCAATCAAAACAAAACTATTACAGCGTAAGTTGCAACACTCACTAGCCATTTCACAGATCCTTGCAGTTCAACGAGTCGTTCTTTCTACTGCACAAAAACAACATGACATCCACACATGAGAGGCAACGCCATTGGTTTGACCCAGAAGTGAGATAAGGCGCATCTCCTCTCATGAAACTCAGTGCAAAAGCTCAAAACGAGAAGTATCAAAACACCTATTTTGGAAGGAACAATACATCATAATGCTCCACGGAGCACTCTAGCCATACATATTTGACAAACATGACTAATTTCTATGCTATCGTGGCAGATTGGACATAAACCCAGTCAGGGCAAACTCCAGAAGGCAGAGCTAAAGAGTTTAGAGAGAACAGGGAGCGGCGTAAATAGGATTTTTCCAAGTTGGTCTCAACACACGACAACCGTCAGATTCCGACTTTGAATAGGTGACACCGTTGTGCTCATGAATGATGATCATCATCGGCATTTGGATGTATGATATTAAGGCTTCCTTCTACTCAAGAACGTTGAGAACAAGGAATCAATTATCGGGCAAGGATAAAGAGGAATAGTACTAAGTTAGTAGATGATGGCCAATGAAACACAAGTCTCTATTAATGTGTAACTTTTCATCCACCATTGATTTCCTTTAGTTTTACCACAATTATTTTTAGTTTTTTTTTCATATTAATTAATATCTATATACTAGTTCATAGAAAGTAAAAATATG